AAAATAAAAAATAAAAAATAAATGTAGAAAGAAGAAGAAAAAAAAAAAAAAAGGAAAAAAGAATTGTCGCCCAAACAATATGAATCGTCGGCATCAAAATCCAATAAGTAAATATGTATACATATGTATGTGCATATATAATGAACGACACGTGATGGATGGAAATGTTTCAAACGGCGTTGAGGTTTCCATAATTCCGCTCCATGCCGCTTCGTCTCTCTCCTTCTTTCTTTTTTTTTCCCCCTCCCACTCTCACCGTGCATGAGTAGCCTCCAAATCCGTGCAACGATTAAAAAAGCGAGGGTTGGGAAGCGAGTGGCGGATGAATAAATGTCTAAAAACAACATGCACAGACAGCGGTAAAATAAAAATAAAAATAAAAAGAAAGAGAAATAAAGCCAAAACAAATAATTTTTTTTTTTTTAAGAAAAACGTACAAATCAATCAAAAAAAAAAAAAACTTCGTCACGTTTCATCCCTTTCTCCCTGTCGGTTTCTCGTTCCCGTCGCTCTCACATGGGTCTAACGTCTCCTCCAAGCAGCCGCCCTGCCACCCCCTTGTATGCCCCCCTCCCGCCGCGTTCACTTCATGGGCGCCTCATCCCACGCGATGGGCGTCACCGTGACGGTTGGCCGCGGCATTGCGATGAAACGCCCCAACAGGTCCCCGTGCGGAAACTCTGGCGGGCACTGGTTAAGGTACGCATCGAAGTACGCCACCTGTGTGTAGTAACCAACCCGCAGAAACTCCTGCCCCCGATATTGAAATGAGATCACAAGAATAGTGACGCCTAGCACTTCCTGCGGGGGCACTAACTCAACCTGCGGCGGGTCACACTCCATCGTGAGCTCCGTGGTGCCCCTCTCAAGTGGGCCAATGTCAAAAGAGTCTAGCACTTGGTCGTAGTCTGCCGACGATGCGCTACCCACCCAGACAAACGCCACCGAAATGGGATCCTGCAGCGCCTGCAGGGCTTCTAGGCGCATACGCCAGTGCAACCTCTGCGTATATGAAGCGGGGTTGTCCCCAAGAAGCTCTATCTCCAGCAGCTGAACAATGGGTTGGGTGCCCATCGACTTTCTTGCTGTTGTTTTTACCGTTTTTGGTTGTTGTTGTTGTTTCTTCTTTGGCCTTGCGGCTCTTGTTAACTCTGTTTACTTGCCTTCTCACTCTATCTCTTTCTCTCTTTCTCTCTTACTCTATATATTTATATATTTATAAATAATTATATGGTTTTGTGGAAATGTATGATGGCTTGTGGGGCGGTGTGTCCTCCTCCTTCTGCCGGTGACTGGTGGGCGGAAAAAAAAAAAAAAGGACCAACACACACAAACACACAAGCACGCGTTTGTCCACCACGTCCTCTTGAGATATCAGTGAGCATCCATCACAAAACAAAACAAAACAAAGAAGAAGAAAAAAAAAAGAAGCAAGTAATTACAGTAAAAAAAATGTAGCACTTTTACAAAAGAAAAAGAGGAGGAAAAAGAACCAAATTGTGGTTGCCATCCACATGCAGAAGGATAAAAACACATGCAAAAAGAAAGGGGGAAAAAAGCGTTCTGTTTTGTTTCTTGTGACTGACTGTTGTGTTTTTCTGTTGTTGTTATTTTGCTTTTGTTTTTTAGCCACCCGCCTGCGTATCACTCCCTCATGAGCTCGCGGAGAGAACAATTTTCCTTGAGGAAAACAGCGCGGGTCACCTCGCCGGCCGCGTCAACGCTGAACTTGAATAAACTGTCCCTCAGACCCTCACAGAGCATGTCGATAAGTGTCCTCCACTCACTTTCAAGCCACAGCAACGCCGTTCCCTCCGTCTCGGGTGGATGCGAGTCCCCCGCGACGACATGCGAAAGAGAGAGGAACCACCACCAACTCTCTTCAGGGGCACGCTGCCACGTCTCAAGAATTTTTGTCCGCTGCATGAAGTAGTCGACTTGCCCTTCATCCACCGCCATCGCACAAACACTTCGCATGGCAAGCCTCTGCTCCAGCATGCCACTTAGCACAGCTGGGCTCTTCATCGTGGCCTTCACCTGCTGTTCTGCGACGGCCCCGACCTGAATGACGAGATCAAAACAAATCGAGTCGTAAAGAAGCGTTTCTTGTGGCACCGCAGGCCCAGCAGTCGAAACATCTGAGGCCGCCAAACCGATGGGGAGCAAAAGAGACTCACGTCTACCGGAATCAAATACACGAATTAAACGCATCTCAATGATATTTCCAAAAATATGGGACCGTTCTCCGTGGTGAATGGCAGGAGGAGGGGGAAAAACAGACTTCTGTTCCTCTGTCATCTCAGACCTCGCATGCAGTGTGGGAATAACAACACCCTTCGAAATAGGGCCCTTCCTCTCCGCGCGCATATAATACGGCAGCCGTGACGTGCTCCCAGAGGCGACCGCAAGAGGAACATCGCGACCATTAAGTTCGCCCAAGTAACGACGCACGTCAGTCCGTGCCTCAACACTCAGCTGGCGTAAACGCAATATCTCCTCCGCACGGGCCATGAGAGTTTTTCGTCCCATGACCTTCTCACGAACCAATTCGAGAGATGAGATAACTGTACGGAGATACGAGGAGGCGGGTCTTTGTAAGACCTTCGTGAATTCATTTGCCAAGACGTGCAGGCAGTCCGGTCCCAAGTCATCCACTGCAAAGCGAATGAAGGATGAATTTTGTACAATAACAGGTGTCAAGGAGGCTACGGGCATCGTGATCGCAATTTCCTTGACAGGGGTGGCGCACGGCACATCCATAATGCAGAACGAGGGGGTCTCTGTCTCCTCATTCTTCAACATGACAATGACGAAAGAGTTCACTGCCTCGTTTTTTGCGGAAGCCAAAAAAAGACCAGCAAAATCCGTCGCTACACCCGCGGGCATCGACAAGTCAGCATCACTGATGCTGCACCGTAACGGCCGCACAAATCCACTAGGTGATGAAATCACTCTGTAATCAAGGCGAGCACGAGTGTACAGGACTTTGGCATGTTGAAAGGGATGCGAGGGCCGACTCCGAGATGGCGTGAGAGCAAAGATAAGAACACTGGACCCCTCGGAGGGAAATTCACTGCCGCAGTCCTCCTCCAGAGACTCCACACCACATCCCTCCGCACAATCCTCCCACAGCTGCACCATGACATCCTCCTTCTGCTCACACGTCAGCACAAGCGAAGTCAGACGCCAAGACGGCGCGTGTTTGTCGACTCAGACGGCACTGCGGCCTCACGCAAAACGCCCTCAAGTCGTTTTAACTGCGCAAGGAGGTTCCTCACAACCTTCGCACCGGTGCTGACGGCGTCGCCGTTGCCAACCACCTGTTCAACAAAAATGGGTGGAAGAATACGTTCCACAACCCCGCGTATCGACGGTACGAGTCCACCGAGCGGGTGAACCGCTGCCGAGGACACAACAGGAGGATTTGTTTGGTAAAAACCAAGCGCAGCAGTCGGATCCACCGGTCGCGTACAGTTGTAATTAATCGACAAGACCACATCATCACGACAGTCGACTGGAGAGCAGAAATTCTTCAAGAGCATCTTTGCTCCACACACCAACAACTTATGCCCGCAGCGAAGGATACCCTCCCGCACGAGGTTCGTCAGCGGCACATCCAGAGCCACCTTAATTTCATAGCAGCCATCGGAAATCACACCCACAGAAGTATGTGGCGCAAGACGTTCCTCAAGGGAAAGACACACAACGCTTACAACCAATAACGATGATGCTGGAACATCCCCTTCTGTCAGAACACGCAGCGCTGGTCGCACCCCATCCACAAACTCTCGGTTGTATTTGAAGCAGAGGTACAGAAGAGCGTGGGACACAGAAAATACAGGAAGAGGTGGGCTACAGCAAAGCGATAATCCACGAAGTTTCAACAAAGTCGATTTCAGCATCTGTTGGCACCAATTCTCCGAACAACTGTTCGTGCAAGCCCCCAGTTTCACCAAAGCCGTATGGAAGGACCTGGGGGGCACAGAGTCATCTTCCGCACTCAGAGCTAGAAGCAGCAAAAGTTCCGGAGAGCACCCCACACACTTGAATGCAAAAGTGCTTTGCACAACTTCTACACTCGATGGAAGAGACGACATGGCCAAAGAAAAAAACGCAAAAATATCAAAGGACAAAGACCTCATCTCTCTTCTTGCAGGCGCATCCTGGAAACGATTCGGCGGCACCACCTGGCGCAGCTGTGGTGATCGAGCAAAAGGAACTACAAAACAACCCCGTCGTGGACCCACAAAAGAAGGCGAAGCCGCTGAAGAAGAATTGTTTATTCCACGAGCACTACACTCTTTATCACATGGCGTTGCGCAATTATCGGCGTCTATTCGATCCCTTGCGGCCTGTAACGATTTCTCTGACACAACAACAGGCTGCCCGGAGGCCGTGGAAAAGAGTGTCGCCACAGCTGCATCCCCAGTGCCATGGGTCAGTGGTATCTGTGCGTCGTCGGCGTCCAGTCTCTCCCTTGCGGCCTGCAACGATTTCTCTGACACAACAACAGGCTGCCCGGAGGCCGTGGAAAAGAGTGTCGCCACACACCCCTCTTTTTGCTCTTCCGATTGATTGCTCACTGACAGATGTGGCAAACGTAATTCGGACCCAATTTCTGCTGCGCCTTCACGGATTCGTTTTCGAATATTGCGAAAGCACATGGAGCAACGTACTCTACCAGGCGCGTTGATAAATGTGCAATGAGCACACACGTTGTCCGGCTCCAATCCCATGGAAGCTCTACCTACAAGCCCCAACAGAAAAATAAAAATAAAGAAAAAAAAAAGAAGCAATAGCAAAAATATATATATATATTGCCGGTGTTAAACGAGAGGTTGTCAAAGACGCCTTTGTGGAGCTGCCCAAAAAGCCGACCTCTTGCCAAAAATCCCCGCCGAGCGCAACCCAAAGGAACCAAGTCATGCCAACTAACAGCATCTGAGTAATTTTTAAAAAGGCAGGAAAATGCACACTCTGATACATACGCCATGTGCGCTTCATTTCAAAGGAATATACGCAGCGGGATCGAAAAAATCCATATCTTTCATGATGCTAAGAATGGCGTTCACGTAGTCCCAGAGAGGCTGTTTGTACGCCGACGGCATGGTGGAGCCACCAAGTTTGTCGTAGTGTGCTAAAATAGACGGCAAAGCCATAAAAAAGCGAAGAAGATACTCCACAGGTAAAACTGCGGCACATTTATGTGAAGCTGTTGCTGTTGGGCTGCCGTCCCTGTCGTTGTGACGTCGCTTCTGCCCATGC